ACCCACAGAAGAACTGGAGACGGTGGATTGATGCACAGGTAGACTTGCCAGAATGCGAGATATTAAAAAGTTTTTTGAGCTATGATGGCAAAATTTGCCTACAGTTAAGAGGGCAGATTCCGGAAGCTAAAGAAAATTTAAAGTGGGTTAAATAAAAAAACTATGCATTTTGGATAAAAAAAGCAAAGATAGTTGCGAAGTTGAACCTTCCAAAGTGAATATTATCAGAAACCTGTATTCCAAAGAATTAAGAGAACAGATTCTATGATTCATACTTGACATGAAAGCATTCACGTAAGTTATCAAAAAGTACAAACCGGTTAGAATAAATTTTTTTTATTACATGCTATATGGAGTAAAGGTGAGAATGAAGTTTAGATAGATTTTAGAATGAAAGCTAGGCAAGATAAAAGTCCTGTAAAATAAATCCAGGACTGGCGATCTGTGGTTGTTCAGGCTTCCTTCCCTATGTAATATATGCACATGAGTATCGTTGAGAAACCCCGAAAAATTCTAAACAGATAATACTCTTTCACTCGTTTTGCCTAAAAGTTAAACAATGATCTAAAAAATAAATAAGCTATGATTTTAAAATTCAAACCACTAAATTAGCCTACAAGAAATACAATCAAGTTAAATACAACGTAAAATGTATTTACTACTTATCTAAAAGGCTTTGGAGTTGGTTTGAATTTTGCATCACAACCCAGAGATGCTTAGAGAAACCGTGCATTGAGGCTACCCAGTATGGCATATTTAGGCAATGATTTCTAGATATTTCGCTGTTATAATACGAAATCAGCTAAAGGTGGTATTTCATCAAAGTGGAAGAAAAAGCTAAATACGGAAAACAAAGCTCCTTCAATTATCATAGTACTGCTTTGCATCTTGTTTCTAATCCCTTGGAAATGTAATATAATGGCAAGTGAAACAGTTAATAACGCAGTTTTACGCAATTCATACTATAGTAAAGATAATACAAAAGACTTATATAATAATCAACATAGCTCGTTTGAGAATGCGGATCCATCGTAGTCAATAAATGGTATAGCATCAACAAATCTACCCTTAAATTATCTAGATCAAGCCAACTATAAAAAAATGAATTTAAAAAAACTGGGACATTTCAGGATCAATTTTGGTGAATGAATGTTAAATTAGCTTCTGGAGTGGAATGGAAAGTAAAGTCAAAAAAATGAAATAAATTAATACTAAAGTAGAAAGCAAAGGGTAAAATCATTCATGCAAGTAAAGTATAATGAAAATTGTCCCTCTAAGAAAAATGTAGAGAAAATTATTCTCAAAAAATGAATAAATGAGCCTGAGATAATTACTTGAAGGCAGCATTTGATCATTTGGACGAAAACCGAAGGGAGACGCCCAGCTAAATTCTGATTCCATTGGCTAGAACAGTCGATATCTTCTCGAGATGAAGTGAGGTCGAAGTCGGCTGCATGAAAATAGAGATGAAGTAGACAAATAAACAAGTGTAAATACTTGAAATATGCACCAGTTTCTAATGGCTTTTGACGAATTGATGGAAAGCTTAAGTTAAGAAAAGGCTTGATTTTTGCAATTATTTCAGTACCAGTTTACTATTTCTATACTACTTAGCTTTATATTTCTTATTTTCTCTATTTAATATAGTTTGTTTCTTATAAAGTACAGTCTCATTAAATAATCACGAAGCGCCCTCATTTCAATAATTAGAAATTCTAAAGTCTTCTCTAAGAAGAGATCATAAACTAGTTACATACACTATGAATAAAAACAGGAATTGGTATTTACGTTAAGTGAATGGCTTTGTTAGATGAGCAATCTTCAAAGAATAAAGCTAAAAACGGCACGAAGTTGTAGCCAGATAATAAGTAAGATTGAAATAGGATCAAATAAAAAAGGACAAATTTGACTGTCTCTGAAATAGAAATAAATGTAATGCAAGAATAGTTATAAATAGGCTTCAATCATGTCGAGTCCAAAATAGCAAATAAGAACTAGTGGTGTAGATTAAAGTTGGTGGAAAAAGATTTTCTTTAAGAAAAAAACGACTGAAAAAAAAGTAACTTGTATCTGTGATATATCAGATTGAGTTAAATGATGGATCATAAGAACTCACCATTTACAAGAAAGTGAAAGCCGCTGCTACGAACAGGGAGAAATGCAAATACATAATATTCTCCAATTGGCTCTTCGTCGCTCAAGTTGATGGCAAATGATACATCTGTAGAGATAGGAGACAGCTGAAAATATGATGAATTCATTAATTAAAAATGATGGTATTATATGGGTTAGATAAATGATCACTGATCTTAGAGACATCAAAAATAAGGATAGACTACATAAAATAAGTTGCACTAAGGCTGAAACGTGAAATTATTATATAATCATATATCCCTCTAAATTTATGCTGGTTGCGACCTACGATTGGATGGAAATCTGCGGATAACTAATTCAGACTATTTGTTTTACACCCCCATTGACACAATACATTAATTAAGAGCTTAAGTTGTCCTAGGTCACATAACTTAATAAAAGGATAATTGTTGAATTTTTCCACAATCATATGAATGGGTCTAACAATTCCAGCCAAATTCACTAAGCCTTGCTCCTCAAAATGTGTTCTTATAAAGATTTGACTGTAGTTTCTATCATGCCTGGGTACCATGAGAACCCGGGTAAAGCAGCGCATAATTTTGACATTGCCAGTAGATAACATTGCCAGTAGATAACATTGCCACAATATTAGTGGGTCACAGAGTATATTTGAAGTTTGAGGTATGTCAGACCTTTACCATAGCATATTTATCTTATGATTTTTAATGAGGCATTATATTAAACTATTACTTATATCCATAATGGGTAGGTTTCGATGCTATGAAAATATCATGACTATAAGCTGTAGTCACTTACGTCCTAGGAATATACGTCGTCTTGTAAAGCATGGTCAGAAAAACTTCTCCTTAAAAAAACGATTAAGTTCATTATTATAACAAAAAATAACCTAAATTGTAAAGTGAAGGCACAAAGATTATTGATATTTCAGGCCCCTGACGAATTAGATAGGTTTGCTTTTGCTGTATAATTTCGTTAGGCTGCCTCCCAAGTGCATTCTTTACCCGCATTTAAGGAGAAGGAATTCAACTTTACTTTGTCAATTAATACTTGATGGCGCAAGGGGAAGGATAACTAATATGCACAAGATTGGGTTCAAGTAGTGTGTCTAGGCTTAAAAATACCACCAACTCCGTTTTAAACACTTTTAGTGAAAAAAATGTCAAAAGCAAATGCCTAATTAAGGTATATCGTGGACTTCCCAACCCTCAGCTTGAGGTAAAATAGAAAAGAATTTTAGCAAACTATAGCAAAAAGACGATACTCAGAAAATCAAACAGTAAATCGAGCAGTTTTAGATATTCCTAATTGATTATTCTCTGCTAATTAGCCTACGAAGGATATGTCTTTTTCAGTTGCCTGTAGAAATTCGGTCGAGTAAAATCTCTTTACCCGTTTCTGAAATAAGAAATAGTATAAAAATCAAGAAATTCAAAGGTTCCAAGGAAGCATGGCACGACAAGAATCAAAAGTCATTTAAAACGGATATTCGAAACAACTAGTTCAAAATCCATATACTAAGCATAATCACAAAATAGTTGTATTTTTAGCCCAATAGTTTAGGCCACCAAGTAGTAAATAACAAAATTAATTGTAGTGAGCTTGCCAGAAACTACCTTAAGAATAAGCTATATTAATTTATCTGAGTGGTAAAACGAATTACGCAAGTTTAATCTTGATAAATTACTAACAGGATAGCATAAAATATGGCTGGAAAAATTAAGATATTCAAAGCCTTTTTAGAAGGAAACTAAATATACATACCTTTTTATCTGCAGTCGTGAGATTAACGGTTAAATTTTGAGTGAAACGGAGCCAAACATGATAACGTATAATAGTCGTAGCCGAATTAACCAATTGGTGCTCGGAAGAAATTGACTGACACGAGCTTGCAATGCGTACTAATGAGAGATGACATCGAGCGCCGTCATCGTTTTCAAATACAGCCAGTGGATAAACGCAGCGTGAGAGACGCTCTAAACAACACTGACCTGGTGAAGCAGAAGTGAGCTGCCAGAAGTGAAACGATAGACAAACGAAAAACAATAATTAAATGAGGAAATAATGTAAAATTTAATACTTGTATGATAGATTATCATCAACTGTTAGCAACTAGCGTTTACAATATGAGGATGGTTACTATAGCATTACAAGTAAAGATATAGATTTAAAAAATGTAAAAATACATAAAAGGTAAATCGGGGTAACATTAACTTGAAGAAAAGTGGTATTAAAAGACTAACTAGTTGAGGTAATAAATAAAATCAGATAATATTAAAAAACTAAAGTAATATTCTAAATAAACAATACATCTTTACTGGGAAATATGACAGCCATATGTTATTTTAAGTAATAAGGGTCATGGGGTTTGGAC